TGGCTCGCTTGATCTGCTGTTTTTTTCCGAGTAGGATCGCACCCGGAGCGGCTTGAGCGAGTCTTCGTAGCGAAGGAATACGTGCTCGAACCCGAGCACGATGCCCCTGCCTACGATTGCCCGCATCCGCGACCGGGCTCGAACCCGATTGAAATAATGATGTTGCTTGTCCGCCACACTGGATGGGAAAACGGCTGATCGATGACGGTAAATAGGCGATGTGAGTCCTTTTCACAAAAAAGAGCCAGGTTTGATTGTGTAATCCCTTTTTCGAAGATCAGCGTGTCACTTTCGAGCATGTTTTTTTCATGTCCAATAAGAAGTGTCAGTCCTCTGCGTCGGTTCCCGGTTCATCGCGCACTTCTGTGGAAGGCTGATATGCGGCACGTGATAAAAATCACTGCATAAGGCATGTCCACCTTCCGAAGTAAAGACGCGACGAGCATTGAACAGTCCTTCCTTCTTGAGATCCCGAGGGAACCTTTCTGCGATATGCCTGGGTTTTCTACGCCACCCATCCCTGGTGAAGCATCGCCCACGATGACCGATGGCCGACGCGATGGTTTGCTAGAAGGGTTGGCCCGGATCCGCCAGTAAAAACCTCAGGGAAGGGCATTAATGCATATAGCATAAAAACTTAACCCCCGATTGAATTACAAGGAATCGTAGCTACGCAGCCCAATCACTCGGCTTGGGACACGTGACTACGAATCCTCTTACCATCTCAGTCACGACATGCTTAAACGAAGAAGACATTTACAAACTGTCCTTTTCTGAAGCAACTATATATAATCTATATATAATCTTTGTGTATGTTTTGACATTTCGCGCCCACTGGTTGGGACTATTTTTTATAAATAAAGGTTTTTTGATGGTTTTATGTGACGAATTATGTACACAACACTTGTGAAAAACCTACGTGCGAGACTACCTCCTGGTCGATGGCGCATCATGGACGGAGAGTTACCCAGAATAATCCCATATGGCCCCCTCGTAAGCATTGCGAAATCCTGTGTTCGTCTGATAAGATCGTATGGGGATGCGCCGATACTTTGTTTTGGGGCCTGAGGGTGGCGTGGAATAACGTACCACCTTTCGACATGATGTTTTTTTCACATGACGTAACAATACACACACACACACACACACACACACACACACACACCTGTCTCTTATACACATCTAGATGTGTATAAGAGACAGCACCACTTCGGCGCCGAAGGCGTCCCGGACGGTAAGA